GGTGCATCGTAGCGAAACGGCGTTTCGCGCCAGATATCGCGAAGCCTGTTACGCGAAACGTGGTCTGGCGTAAATCTCCCTGGTGCAGTTTCAGGAGACGTGAGAAGTCGTGCCTCTCGAGGCACTTTCCAGCCCAATCAATGTCGTCGGGATGGGTTTCGACTTTCACGCGGGGGCCCCGGCCAATTATCGAGGTTCTTCCATTTTTGATTATTAATTTTCGTGAAGGGCAATGAGGCGCACGACACCGTGATGCGGAGCGCGCCCCGGCCGCGTGCCACGGCCCCGCGCCTCAGACACCAGGGACAGCGACAGCGAGCGCCGCGGCCTCTCGACGAGATGGCTTCGCTGCGGGCCAAACAGAGGTTAGGGGGCTGACTGCCTGCCGCTCCTTGACAGAGCTTCACCCTGCCAAACACCTACCAGTTTCCCACGTGCAAGACTCCTGACCTGAAGCGGACATAAGGCATTCAGTCAAAGCTGAAATGCAGAAGAATGCGAGGATCAAGAAAACGGAAATTACTTTGTGAAAGCATAGCGATTTCCGTTTTCTCCTTTCCCGCATTATTCTGCATTTCATCTTTACCAGAATGCTTTATAGGGTACCCCAGAAGTACGCTGCAGCGGATGTAGTACTAGAAGTACTTAAATAAGCAGGCCCCACCCTTCCGCCAAACGGAGTTGCCAGCTCCGGCAACTCCGTTCGGCAAGGGCCGGGCCTGATTTGCCTGACGCCAGCGATGGTCGGGTCGCAAGTCTCGGACTGACGAACATAGTCAAATAATGTGACCGGTAAATCACTTTGCATATTTGAGTAAACTTAGGCTTCCGGCGGGGGGCCTGCGGCCCTCGAGATTAGCTCCTTCGACATGACAAAAGACTGTGACGGGGAAACACCGTGACTGCACCCCACCCTTCTGCTTTGCTTAAGAATAATCATAAAAAGTGAACCAGCGCAAGTTCGGAGGGACCTACGGCTTTTAAAATTCGCTCCTTGCACAGTAGAAAAGACTTACGGAGCGACACCGTGACTAAACCCCACTTTTCTGCTTTGAAAATGAATAAAAATAAATAAATAGCACAGTTTTCAGCTTGTATTGTTTCTCAGACACTCTGGAATTCTTGCCATTGTTTTGATTATATCGACCTCTAGGAATGAGATTGTACGAAGCCCCTCTGTTTGAATGGATATTACTTAATATTAGTTCCTCTCTTGAGCTAATTAGTTGATAGCTGTCTGGAGGCGCGGAGTAGCGCGGCACCGCTAAGCGGTCCACACCGACCGAGCAGCCCGGAGGCGCGTGTCGAGAGCGCGCTCCGGCACACACCGTGCTGAGCGAGGACGAGACAATGCACACGCTCAGTAGCGCTCAGTTATTGATTGATTGATTGGCTCTCGAGTTCTTAGAATCTTAGAGGTTTCACTGTGAAAGATACATACTAATAGACGGTTCCGGCAGTGCGCGGTTCGTAAAGGAGTAAGGAACTTGGTATCGGGAACAGTACTTTATTTCCCCCTATTTCAAGGACTGTTTCTGATACGAAATGTGCTGTTTCGGATATTACTTCCTCTGGAATTTTTCGATTTCAGGCCTTCTTGTACGTCTTTATGTACAGCGTGGTCATTTGTAGCGTAGTTCTGACGAAAAAGCATCACATGCGCCCAAACGGTGAGAGATAGAGGCAAACAGACAAAACTATTGCTAACTTTTTTTGCTTCCCTCTTTTTCTTTAATACCACCTTTCACCCCTCTAGGGGTGGTTGCCAGGATTTACCGTAGGCGATTCGTTTTCTAGAGGTGAACCATAAGATGACTTGAAAATTTGAGTCTTTGGCACTTCTCCTTCTAGTGGAACAGATAGACACACACAGACACGAGGTCGTTTGCATAAGACCACGGGAAAGCTTTTTCAAAGCCGAAGGGCGACTGTTTTTGTAAACACAACTTAATTTTACAAAAGCCATAGACTTTTAAGAGATTGTCTGTGCAGGGAAATGACCAAACTTCCTGTCTTTGAGGGTCTTGCAACCAAGGCCCTGCGCCTGTTGCGAGCCGACCTCTACTACTGTGATGGTGCTAATCACGACGATGGGCCGCTTACCCAACACCTGCGATGGTGGGTGCAACTTCTAGACGCAGGCGAACTGCCTGGAAGGACAAACTATCTCATGGCGCTTTTCCGGCAAAGCATTGTAAGTGGCGATCTACGTGAGGTTGCAGATCATGTGTGCTCGTGTTGTGGCGCTTGCTTTTAACTGTCTTAGTAGCTTATTACAAATTATTGCTTTTGCTACAGATTTTAAAGAAAGTAAAGTTATTTAATACATGTGATAACAGTAACATGACTCCTTAAAATGGTGGATACCAGAACAACTATGCAGTCTTTGCACTTTTGACTGTAAAATGTTTCCAATTTAATGAAACAGTTAGACTCCGTCTGAATTATCATTATCTGTCCGGTCCATCGGTCCATTTCCTTGCCCTGTAAAGGGCATTCCATGCCCTTTACACCCGCTCAACCAGAAAGACTCACAAGGAAATAAACTGAACCACGCTGATTGCTGATGATACTTTAGACGGAGGCTTACATTCGTTTACTCGTTGACATCTTTTTGGCGTTGTGGTTGTAGACGAGTTTGGTCATTGCCGTGGCGGTGATGGTGCAGATGATCTACGACACTGCCGTCACCGGAAGTATGTTTGGGTTTCGGATCGGCCTTGCCGTATACACGACTATCGTCGTCATCGTCTTGTTCATGCAGCGGCGACGCGGTATCAAGGCAGGCTCAATGCGGTTCAAATCGGGATTTGTGTATAAAGTGCCCTCTAACTTCAAAGAACTTTTTTAATGGATGCCTTTATTAGGTTGGCGTCTGCCAGCTTATTGAACTAAGCACCTCCCTTGATATCCACGGGCAGGCGCAGACTAAGGTAGAGACCAATGCCAGTTTCTCTTGGAAGTAGTAAACGCTCACGGTAAAAACGACGTTTTGATTTTCTTGACGTTTGGAAAAACCAATACGTCTTATGGAGAAAAAGCCTGGGAAATGACTTGTTCTGTTCAAACGTCGTGGAAACCAAGACGTCACTTTCACCATGCTACAATTTTTTTTTTTTGTTGCGAATACCGCTACATTTTAAATAAGTGTTCTAGCTCGAAAACGCTCGGTTCTTCAGAATCACCTGGCTGCCACCGCCCACCGCTGCGCCAAGCTCGTGCGCTTCTACGAGGCGTACGCCTGGCTGGCGCAGGCCGCCATCTTCACGGCGCTGATCGCTCGGAACCCTACCTGGCAGTACCACGCGGTGGCCGGGTTGGAACCGGTGCTTGGTGGTCAGCGAGCCACCCAATTTCAAAAGCCACGTCAGATTGACCCTAAACTTTTCACGCTGTAGTCCAAATTTAAGCACGAACTAGTCATTTAGACTTCGAAACGTTGATGACCTGTTCGTCACGTTTTCATGTGTGTACTGGGCAATTCAACACGAGAACCGAAAACAAACAGAGCTTATGTCTACAGAGCACCTGGAGGTCGCAGCGAACATGCTCCGTTTGGTCTACCTCGCGTTCCAGTTGTTCACGGGGGTGTGTGCCGTGGTGGCCGACTACATGGCGGTCGTCCTCCTCCTGGTCATCTACATCTCTATGGGGGACATGTACGATGCCTTGGGCGAGGTCCTTCAGGTATCATCAGGCAGTACAAGAATTGTTGTAACGCGAGGGTTGGCAGGTGGAAATATCTTTCCTTTGTTATCGAATGAAAGACATAACGATCAGGACCGACTGACATCCGAGCGGCATCACCAACCTGCCAACCCCCGGCCCTCAATGCCTCCTGCCCACCAAATCGTCCCTTGATAACCATCGCGACCCCAGCGGACATGTGGAACTCACCACTCACACAAAGTGCTAGGCTGCAGTGAGCGGTTAGCAGGTCCCCCTTCACCCCTTTTAGAACCGCCATTGTGAACTAGACAATAGGGTGTTCCAGGCTACCTAGAACGGAAGTGAAAAAGAACAAACTCACCGATTAATCTGTTTCCGTCTGCTCAGTATGAGAAATGGCCATGGTAGTTTGGTCCGATTCTAACCTCTCAAATATGGAGGCGAGCTCGAAACTGACCTGACAGTTTTTCATACCTGCAACGCCGTCGTGACACGTGATCAGCTCAACCAATCAGAGCCTTCACGGAAACAGTAAAGTCAGTGAGTTTGTTCTTTTCCTACTTCCGTTTTGAATAGCCTGGAATACCCTATTAGATAACTCTAGACCAAGACAAGGGAATCAGTAGACGGAGTTGCACGCGGAAAACAAAAACAAGGAAAAAGATGGACGGAGGACGGACTTGCTCGCAGAAATAAAAAGAAAAGACTAGAACGGAACCCGGACGACGACGACGATATTCATTCAATGGCTGATCTTAGCCATGTGGAGAGAGGGAGCCGGCCCCAAGGCACGGCTACAGGTGGACTACTCCATCTTCGCACTCATACTTCTTTCAAGAGAAAAGAGTGACAGACTGACGAAACGTAAACTGATGAAACGTAAACGAACAGGCTCCTCGAGCACTGCTGATCACCGCTCTGGGTGCAGGGTATCAGTGGTATATGGTAGCCTACAACAGTCGTACACCGAATTAGTCATAATCATCTATGTATTTATTCCCTCGTGAACAACCAAAGTCGCTTACCGAGCTCGGCTCAAGGCTGAGCTTGTGTCGTCCGGGGCGTCTGATCGAAGAGTGCTGAGCTGGGCTGCTGCCCAGCAGCAGCTCGCTCCCCTCGACCAATCGCCGCCGCCGATCCGATCCAACAGCGCTCCTAGCGGCCGATCGCCGTAAAACGGACAAACGCGGTAACTACGGTATAGCCAGAGCGCCGCGGTCTATCGACGGACAGCCAACGACCTTGTACTACAGTCAATGGCCACAGGCATAGGACGGCCGGTGAAGGCAACCCCATGCCTGTGTCATCCTCAAACACAATACCGATATAATAATTAAAACTCTGCCTTGAACCGAACTCTGTAGTGGACACGCTACGGTTCAGCCAAGAAACCTTCGTCGGCACGGATGCGCCTCAAAACACCTGCTATAGTAGTATGCGCGTAACGACATTCAGAGCCCCACGCTATGTGAGATGATGCGTGCGCGATCGCTCTTGGAAAACCTCTTGGGTTCCCTAACCTAGCGGCCCATTCACATGTTAGATGTGAGGGTGGCCGCAACTATGTGGAAAACATTCTGCTTCCGTATTAACGCGTATCTGTAAAACCATCAATATTAGATGTTGGTGCGGTGAAAACAAAATGGGCGACTTCACCTTTGATCTCTGAAATTAAATAGCTTTACGACGTACTGACTAGCAATACCTGAAAACGGATCGTTGTATGTTTGTGTCTGATGTTTCGGCATCGTTTTCATACGTAGGTTTGTCTTTGTGTTTTCAGACAAGGCCCTGCGACACGCTCTTGGCGCGGCAGCAGAGCGTTCTCACGCAGGCCTCCCTCACGGTGGACGAGGCCGTGTCTGACCTGCTCCCGCAGGTCCTTATCGTGAGCGTCGTGGTCCCACTGCTTTGCACCGTAGAGGCGAGTTAACTATATACTAGAGTTTCCAGAGGACCGCCACCATCGGCACCATCGAGCGCGTCAAACCACGGCACTAGTTCGAACAGGCATGAGCCCTAATTTCGGACATTAGGGATGATAGCCGTTTTCTGTCAGTTCTATGTCAAGTACTTAAAAACTTGCACGTCGTGTAATGTTCTGACACGTCGTCATTCCCATGCCGAAAGTTGACACTTGGCGCTTGCCTTTTCGTAGCATTATCCAAGTCTTGCACGTGGCCCAAGCTGTCATGTTCCAGTCCAACAGTTGATTGTCATCTCCTGCGTACATTGGGTGTAGTTGATGGCGGAACGGATTCCGGCTCTAAAACTTTGGCAAGAGATGCCGCTCGTATTTCTAGGATTTTTTCGAATGCACCTCTTGTCGCAAGTGACACGCTAACCTGAATGAAGTCAGAATCAAAAGCCTCTTGATCTGAACTGATCAGATCTCGGAAGTGCTCGTAATTTTTGTACGCTTCTGAAACCATTTGACACATTACGTGACAAGCACAGGTGTTAGCAATGAACGACTATTTAAGAAAACCAGTTTATACAGACTCGCCAAGTACACTCCCGTTTTTCAGTGGAGTCTTTTTCATAATATTCTTCGTCATGTTCCTCACTGCCTTCTCCCCTCTTTTCTCTTTCTTGCGTTTGCTTCGTTTTCAATTTGCTGGTCACGACTTTGGCTAGATCAAGCAATTATACTCTTTCCGAAGAGAGACGTGAGGTGGATTGCGACAAACTTATGAACTCGCTCACTGACCACATAAAACTCCATTCTTAAGCTTTTTGAAGTACTTTCAACTGTTGCTGATGTTGAAGTCGCACTTAGGTACTGAATTCGATGTGCCACACCGCAACTAAAATTTGTGGCATTTTCCAAACAATAACTGCCACCGTCGTTTTTAGCCAGCTCTTTTGCTTAAAAGCTATATAAGGGGACTTATGCCGCCCCCCCCTCCCCCCTGTGTGTCCGTCCGTCTGTCCTTTTGCCAAGAAGGGCGTGAGCAAGAGGTCTGATGTTTTCGGGCTATTTTTGTTGTCACTTCTGGACAACGAAACGGTTGGTGCAAATCCTGGCAACCTCCTCTGAGTGGGTCTGACGGGGTAACAAAGAAATAGGAGTCGATCCAAGAGGTGGGACTCTTTTATGGTCTCCTCAGGGGTAACGTGGGGGGGGGGGGACGGTTATCGTAAGCGAGGCTCCACGTGCCCCTGTCCGGAAGGGGGAAAGGACGGACGATACTCGCATGCAGTTGAACTTGTCAGTGTGCTGTGCCTTACCCTAGCAATACGCTTGAACGGCTTGTGTAGGCTGGGTGGTAGTGTGCTTGTTTGCCCTGTTTTGCCTTGCATGTTGGCCTTCCTTGCTCTGCTCTCTTCTTATCAGTTTTGCCTGCTTGTTTCACCATCTCTTCCCCCGCAGCTTACCCCGAGGATCCCAGGTTTGATTAATACAACTTCTTCACGTACAGGTTTTTATTTACTTTATTGGGTCATGTTTTTACGATACAGAATGCTATACGGTCCTCAAAATAAAACAAGAATCTCCAATGAAATAAAACAAGAATTTCCAATGAATACGACCAATTAAATCAAACAAGCAGCACAACTGTCCTGCACCCCTTGCGCCTGGAACTCTTGTCAGGTCTACCTTCGTCCCCTCTTCCCCTTCCCACCCCCGGCCTCCAGCTAATAGCCAGCCCACTACACCCTGTGTAGTAGACTCACGGATAACCTCCGGCTGGAATCGGCCCGCCCGGGCCCCACCCGTCTGAAGTCACATGGGCCCCCACCCCCACACCGCGGAGTGGTGGCGTGGCGCCCGACGCCACGCTACCGCGCACCCCGGTGTGCGGGGCAAGGCCAACATGTGACACCAGAGCCAGACTCCAGACCGAGGTGATCCCTGAGTGTAGCCAAATGGGGGAAAATTTCAAATACTGCGCTAAATTTTGGGTCCGAAAAGGGTGAAAGGGGAAAAAATTGCCAAAAGGGAAATTTTGAAGGCCGAAATGGGAAAAATGAGTGGACTAAAAATGCAAATTTTGCTGAAAACCTCTCTCGCTCTCTCCCTCCACCACTCACTGCTGCTCCGACGCCAACCGTGTGTTGCATTTACCGCATGAAGTCTCTACGAACGAGACCCAGAAGCGCTGGCCTTCGTCGCCGCGCGTCAGATGGACGTGGCCCTCCCACAGGAACGGGCCGTAGCGCTCCCGTAGGGCACGTCCCGCAGCCGGTGGACCGCC